AATACCTCAAAGGTCAAACTAACAGGACTTTCATTTCTCTTACTGCTAGTAGGTACAGGAACAATCTTGTACCTCTGTAGCTCTTTGGACAAGGGGAGCCCTAATCCAGAATGTATATATCCATTAACATTGCAAGCTGAAAAATCCTTTAAGCTTCTCCCGGATTCTAGCACACTTCCGATATATCAGTTGCAGCTCCCAAACTGCTTTATGATGTTTTCTCTGACATAATGAAGCCTTTGGCCATCACTGCTACTTTGAAAATCAAAGCCTTTTGGTCTCTAATGGAATGTTTATAAAAATACTCCATTTTGAAATTTGCTCAGGAAAAGGAAGTATGGTAAATGATGTTAGAATTCCCTCCGGCTTGCCTTGGCATTGATTCATTTAATGTTATGTACTCTGGAAATATCTGGAATTAGTGTGAATAAGAGTATTAAAACCCAAAGTTAAATAGCTCTTATCTTCATTGTCTTCTTTTATGGAAGTATAGCATCAGATATGCAGCCCTAATTGTTATTTCTATATAACTTGATTAATTTCCCTTTGCCAAATCTAATACAGTAATCGAGGGTAAGCTTAAAATTCCTAATGGCTATTCAGAAGTCTCGTATGTTTCCATTCTTTTGGTAAGGTTAAAGTGGCAAGTTTTTTTTTTTTTAAAGATTTTATTTATTTGATTGAGAGAGAAGAGAGAGAGAGAGAGAAGAGAGCACGAGCGGGGTGGGGGCAGAGGGGGAGGAGCGGAGGGAGAGGGAGAAGCAGGCTCCCCACTGAGCAGGGAGCCAGGACTCAGGGATTGATCCAGGACCCTGGAATCATGACCTGTGCTGAAGGCGGATGCTTAACTGAATGAGCCGCACAGGAGCCCTAAGTGGCAGTTTTTTTTTGAAGGAGCAGTATAAGATGGCAAGCCTGTAGTAAAAAAAAAAAAAAAAAAAGAGCCACAGAACTATACTCTGAATATGTTGTTCTCTGTTGTTTTCCTTGGTGTCAGTGAAAAAAAAAAAAAAAAA